AAATATCAAAAAAGCGAGCTGATCTTTGTTCTGACTATATTTATTATAAAATTAGTTTATACTTCAATGAAACATAAAATTAAAGTGTAATTCCCATTTAATCTCATAGTAATTGAATATTTAAAAAAATCTTGATCGCTAGATACCGTTCTTGATGTTTAGAATACATAATAATCTAAATATTAAAGAGGTATCAAATGATGATTTTAATCTGAGGTTACCTTTTAATAGAACATTAATTGTTAGCCACCCTTATAATTTTGATCATAGCGATATAATATTTTTTATCTGTCCTTATAATAATATTGATTGCCTGCATCAACAGCGTATTTAATTTTATTAGCATCTAAATATGAATTTACTTATATAAAAAGCAAAATTAATAACATTATTTACATATTAATTCATATAAATTATATCGTAAATTATTAATTCCATGCCAATCTTAATTCTAAAAATATTAAGATTAAAATTGATATGTGTTCATAAACTATTCTCTCTAAAATGTTTATAAGTCTAAACATCTATCAAAAGTATATAAAGTAAAGATTTCTTTATGTATAATAATTATATATATATATTAATAATTATATGATAAATTAAATGGAATCAAAATCAATGACAATAAGCACTAAAATATAATAGTCAAATTATTCTGCCTTATCTAATCTTCCTCGACATATTATTAATTAAATAAAAAGTGAAGGTATTATAACAATTTAATTTTTAGGTGAATTATATATCACTGCACCTAATAAATGCTCAAAAATATGGATAGAAATGAGAAAAAATGATTTTGTGACAGATGCTCAATTAAACTTTACAATTGTGTAAAGAATCTTTGAAGCTTGTAGAAGTGAGATAGTATAATTATTGAAACTGTAAAATGAAAAGGATTTCTTTGAGCTCTTTGATTAAGATAATGATGGGTAAGATTTCAATGAATTCCATTAGAATTTTAAATGAAGATGAGTAAATTTTAGTTTTTTCTGTCATCAAAGAAAAAATGCATTAAGTAGCTACTGCTTTGTTGAAAATTTAAGAATACATATTATTTAAACAGTTAATGAAAGAATTGAGAATTCTAGAGGCAAATATTGCAGATTATCAAAATTAATTGAGATAACGTATATCAAACAAAGAAAGAAAAGTGTATAAAGAAATAGGATAAGAAAAATTAGATGATTTTTATGATAAATACTATTAAGAATTTTAATAATTAACAAAGTATAAAGTTGATAGAAGGTACACTTATTATATTAATGAAGAGCATAATTAAAAATATCTTAAGAAAAAGAGTTAGGAATATTGGAAGATCGTCTCTCTAAAGATACAGAATTAATGAAAGTTAAACCAAAAAAAAAGTTGAAGGATCTATAAACACAAGAAAAGTTAGTTAGTTTAGAGGAGAGAGTAGAAGAAGCATTAGATTTTAGAAAAGAATTGAAGGATTTAGAGAAACATGAATAAGATAGAGTATATAAAGTATAAAAATATCGTATTGAAAAATAACATAGTGATTTGTTATTTAAATAATAGAAAGAAAGAGAATAATTAGAAGGTAAATTATAAGAAACTGAATATAAATTAATCATACAAATGAAAAAAGATTATGATGTTTTACTTAAACAAATTAATCTTCATAATAATGAAATAACTAGAATTTAGAGTTTAGCCTCTAATCAAGCTATGAAAAAAGGATTGTATGAAGGAGAAGCTAAAAGATAAAAAGTTTAATCATAATTATAAAATGCTATCATTGCTTAAACTAAAGCCATTAGTTAACCTGAATCTAAAATTAATGATTTAGATTAATTTCATGAATCTGAAACCATTAGAAAATTAGAAACTAGAAAGAGTATCTAATTTGTTGGTTCTCCTGGTAAAGTAAATAATATTTAATAATTAAGCCTGTGTACTCAGAGGAAAGTGAAAAAACTCCTATGGGTTCTACATTTAATGGAAAATCTAAGAACTTTTATTAAATCAGAAAAATTATTAAAGAGTCTAAAAACATCACTCAATTCTATATCAAGAAGAATTATGGTGCTGTACACTATTCGATAATTTTCTTAGGATTTACCAGTTAATTTTATTAGAAGTGCCCATAATATCTAAGGGGATTAACATGAAAAGATAGAAAGATTTCTATCTGTAAAGCGAAAATCTTAGCATGAACTCTTACCACCCATCACATAATTGTATGATGATGATATGTAAGAAAAAGTATTGTATCTTAAATAAACTTTAGTAAATCAAGGCAATAACATAGACTGATCAAGAGATAAAAAGAGAAAAAGCACTTAAAAGAGCATTTATTAATGAAAAACTATTTAGAAATGATTGAATAGTATATTAACATTTTAATGAGATTTTTTTATTTAATCTTATCTTAATTAAATTAAGTTTAGTTGTTTAATTTTATAAATATAAAAATAGGAATTAATTTTTGTTATGAATTCTGTATTCATGGAAATAATTGTGTTAAAAATCTATTTAAAAGGAAATTAAACAATTTTAAAGTTAATTAATAATTTGATAAAGTAGTTAATGATAATAATATGGATATAAAATATTTAAATTGTAATAAAAAATCTTTATTTTTCATATTGAGTTTAATATATCTTTGTAAAATATATCATTTAACAAATATAAATATAAGTTAAAAGAGTCAAACTATAAACAAATTTCTTTGTTTTATAAATAATATAAGTTTAACTTATAATACAATTAATCAGAGTACTATATTTTATGGAAAATTTAGATATTATAATTTGTAACTTATTTGAAAAATTTTAAGTGTTTTTTAGTATTATTTACAAAATATGAATTTTAGTATTAAATAAATTACTTAGTTCAATTTCTATAAATGATTTATTAATGAAAAATAAAATAATGAAATTTGACCTAAATAAAATGATTGAAACCAGAATAAGTGATAAGATTAATAAACCAACATAAATAAAAAATAAGAATTGCAGAATTAATATACAATTATATTGTAGTAAAACTATTAATAACAATTTTATTAAGTGTAGATAACTAAGTAATCCTTCTTATCAATTGTCAGACTGTTTGAAATGAAATAAGAATCTCTTTTTTTAGGAAGATATGATAGTAATTAAATCATTAAACAATATATCGATAGACTAAGGGTTGAGAATTTCACTTTATTAAATATATCATATATTTATTAATTGACATAATCTCAAAATGGGTTGTTGCTCTTTTAAATTGTATACTGATGAGAAAGGTAATAGTAAACATAAAGTAAGCTATAACAAATTCAGGAAATGAAATAGATGAAGTTAAAGAGGGACTGGAATTTAATTAATAACCTAATGATCATTCTAAAATTATAGTTTAAGACAAAGAAACCAGTTTTATAAAATCAAACTCATTATCAAAAGAATAGGGTTATTCAAAGGATCTTGAATAGTTGTAAGTTTAAACTAAACACAAGGAAGGAGATACAGTAGAATTTGTAAAAAAAACTATTAGTGGAACTATGAAATTAACACCTGAAATGTTGGTGAGAAAGCAATGTATAACAGAGAAGTTTTTAGCTCATTACGAAATAGTAAAGAAATTAGGTTAAGGGGGATTTGGAGAAGTATTTTTGGTTAAACATTTATCAACAGAGAATTTGAGAGCTGCAAAGGTGGTTGTTAGGAAAACAATAAATTGTGAAGAGAAATTATTAGAAGAGACAGAAATTTTAAAAGCTTTGGATCATCCAAATATAGTTAAAGTTTTGGAAATATTTGCAGATTTTAAATATTATTATATAGTAACTGAATATTGTTAGGGAGGTGAATTATTGGAGAGGATAAAAACTATAACAAATTATAACGAGAATTTGGCTGCAAAATATATGAAATAAGTATTTTCAGCCATTTAGTATTGTCATTAGAAAAATATTGTTCATCGAGATTTAAAGGTATAAAAAATATATATTATGTTTTTAGCCTGAAAATATATTATTTGATTCAAGAGATCCAGATGCAAATTTAAAGGTGATAGATTTTGGAGCAAGTGAAAAGATGATTGATTCATCGTTTTTGACTAAAAAGATTGGAACTCCTTATTATGTTGCTCCAGAAGTTTTATCTGATTAAGGATATGATGAGAAAGTAGATGTTTGGTCATGTGGAGTTATTTTATATATTTTATTAATTGGAAGACCTCCATTTAAAGGATCTAGTGATATAGAGACTTTGAGATTAGCTAGATAAGGAAAATTGAATACAAATAGTGAGAGATGGTTGAGAACAAATGAATAAGCTAAGGATTTAATAATGAAAATGATTGTAGTTGATCCAAAGAATAGAATAAGTATGTAGGAAGCTTTTAATCATCCTTGGATTTAAAATATTTAATAGAATGAGATTGAAGATATTAATTTAATTAAGAATTTAAGTCAATTTACAGCTTAGAATAAATTGAGAGCTGCAATAATTTAATTTATTTCTGTATAATTAGTTAATAAAGAAGAGAGTTCAAAATTATTTTAAACATTTAAAACATTAGATCAAAATGGAGATGGAGTTTTAACTAAAGATGAATTGATGAAAGGTATGTTAAGTGCAGATGTAGATCATTTAAATGCAGAGATAATGGCTAATGGTTTAATGTAAGAATTAGATGTTAATGAATCAGGAAAAGTAGATTTTACTGAATTTATATCTGCTGCATTAGTTTAATAATAAAAAATTACCATTAATAATATTAAATTAGCATTTAAGATGTTTGATATGGATGGAAATGGAATGATAAGTAAATCTGAATTAGAAAGTATTTTTGGTGGAATTGAAATAGATAATTAGGCTTGGGATGATATTTTATAAAAATGTGATCTTAATAATGATGGATTCTTAGGGGAAGAGGAATTTATTAAATTACTGGAGAATATTTAATTATGAATTCATTAAACTTATATATTTTCTATTTGATTATAAATTACATATTAAATATTCAGTATTAAATAAATTATATAAATAATGTATAGAAATTTGGGTTAAACATATTAAGCAATGAATATTATATATGAGGAAAATGGTAATCAATTATGGTTGGGTGATTATACAGCTGCCTAAGACAAGTTTACTCTTGATAATAAAGGAATTAAAACAGTTTTAACAGTTGCATGTTAACTTAATATAAAATATAATGATTAGAATATGAATCATAAAGTAAAATTTATATATAATATTATAGACATATTCAATTCTTGATTCAGAATAGGCAAATGTGGCATAATTTTTTGATGAATCTTTTTATCTTATTAAAAATGGATTGAAATTTGGATCTGTTCTTGTACATTGTGCTGCTGGAGTTTCAAGATCAGCATCAATAGTTATAGCTTATCTTATGAGAAATAAAGGATGGACATATAGTGAAGCTTTTTCTTATGTTAAGAGTAAAAGATTTGTCATTTGTCCAAATAGTGGTTTTTAAAGATAATTGAAAAATTATGAGAAATAATTAAGACAATCAAAAGAATAAGAAAAATAAAATAATAATAAAGAATTAGAATGTAATTAACATAATGTTTCTGATAAATAATCAGATAATGTTAATGTTCTTGAAATTAAAAAATCTGAATAATTAGTAAAATTGGGAAATGAAAAAAAAGTAGAGTCTTCAATTTAAAATGAATTTAGATAGACTAATAAAAATAATGAATTCTTAGGAAATAATTAAAAATAAGAAACTAAATCAAATTTTAGAGTATAAAATAGAAATTGTATGCTTACTTCTAAATTTAATAATACAAGAACAAATATGTAATAAAATAAAATCAATTTATAAACTATGTAAACAACATACAATTCATCTTATGCTGGACCTTAAATTGTTACACATGCATAAAATAAGTTATTTGATAAATATCCTTTATCAATTTTACCTGGAATTTCTGGAAAATCTAATTATAACATAAATAATAGAAGAAATCAATGAAATTTATATAACTTGTGTATAGTTATTGTATTCTAACTGATATGATTTAAATTGTTATTAATTATAAAATTTGAATAATTCAATGAGAAGTTCAAGTTCTAACTATTCATTATAAAGAGATATATAAAAAATAGAGAGTATAGATTTGAGAAATAGAAGTGGAATCAGAAATAAAAAAGAAGAAAATGCATATTCACGAATTGATAATAAGGAAAATTATTCAATTTAAACAGGGAAAAATTAATTATTTTCTTATGGAGCAAAATACTAACATAAACTTTAAATGTAAAAATCTAAAGTAGAGATACCTATTGTTGAAATCAAAAGAGTAGATGATAAAAAATAGTTGAGTGTAATTTTCAAATTTTATGCATCTTTTGGAGATAGAACCAATATTGATTATATTAGATCAAATAAAGTACATAAATTAATGTCAGATTCATAAATCAAACTTTAAAGATAAGATTAATAATAAATTGATTTACTTTTTGTTAAAGCAAATAGAAATAAACCAAATATGGATTTTGAGAACTTTTATTACTTTTTAGAATTATTATCTGAAATTTTATATGGAGAAAATTCATTCTAAATATTAATGGATAATCATTTAACTCCATTATATGAAAACATAATCTCATCTACAGATTTAGGAGATGAAGAGACTAAACTATCTTAAGAAATTGATCCAATCTGTGTCAAATTAATGTAGGTTGTTATTCAACCTATTACTTTTATTTATAATAAATATTTTCCTCCTTAATTTAAGAATTTTAATTTGAAAGACTAATAAGAAGAATTAATGTTGAAATAATAGATTCGATCTTCATTGTTTTTATTTTTAAAAGAATTTGAAATCTGTCCATAATTTATTACTAAAGGATCTGCTTATTTATTATTAGATTATATTTAAGCAGATCTTAATTTACCTTAAATTTGTTAATTAAAAAAATAAAAGTCAAAATTTGATCTTAACTAATTTTGTTGTTATATTATTAAATTAGCTATGATGACTCTTCAAAGTTTTGATGATTCAACTTAAGAATAATAAATAATAACACCACTTCAAAAATTGGCTTTTTTATTTGAGAGAATGGAATTGAGTCAAGGTTTTAATAATTTGGAAATACCATCAAATAATTCAAAAATAAATTGGAAATTAAAAGTACCTGAAGAACTTATAGAATTAATAATTAGTGAACCTGATGCTATTTAATATTTAAATTCTACTACTTAGAGAATGAAAATTCATCAATTAAAAAATGAAGAATTTTGTGATGAATAGGTGAAAAGAATTAATACAGTTCCTACTAATAGAATAAGACCATCTATATAAATTAATAAATAATTTGAGGAATAATGTCAATAATTGTTTTAAGAAAATTATACATAATTATTTAATATCTATAGATAATATTCTGGTATTAGTTAATAGACTGGACAAGATAATGAATTAGTTGGTAGTAAATGGATGAAATTTTTAAAAGATGCAAATTTAGTTAATATAAATTTAATTGATAAAAATAGTAAATTATCTTATTAAATACCTCATAATGAAATTGATTTAATTTTTACTAAGGCATGTACAGTCTCATAAAATAATAGAACATCTGTTCCAATTAAATAAAAAAAATAAACTATGAATTTCTTATAATTTTTGAAAGGTCTTTAATTACTTACAAATGATATACATGTTTTAAAGACAATATTATATGATCATGTATTACATTTAATGAGTCAGGGACCAGAAAATAAAATGAAAGATCTTCTCTCTTAATTAATGAATTTATTAAAGGATAAAGAAATAGTTGAATTTTTAGGATTACTACATAAATCTATTTTAGTATATTATAAACATTATACTATTGGTAAATAGATTATGAATTTTGAATAGTTCTTAAGATTTTATAAAGTAAATTATTATATTTAATATTATTAGGATTTCTCAATCTTTCCTGATTTATTAACTAAAAATAAGATAGTTTAAATATTTTAAATATTGTCTAAATTATATGAGAATCAAGAAAATTCAAATATTAAAAGTGGTAATATTGATCAACATATGTTTGTTGAATCTCTTGCCCTTTCAGCATTGGAAATCTTATATAATGATGATGAAAATTTAAGTTAGTTAGAGAAAGTAAGTATACTTATATGATTTAAGATATATTTTTTGATAGAGAGATTAAATTAATCTGATGGGCCTAGGATTGTTCAGAAGTAATTAGGACATACAAAGTAAAATATTAATAATTAAAAAATTTAGATGTCCTTCTGGTTAAGACTGGGACTTATTGTATCATATAAGAAAGAGGTTTTCATGGTTAATTTAATAACAAGAATAAGTCTCTTAAGAATAATGACTTCATATTATTATTTTTATATATTAAAGGCAAAGTTAAATCGTAAAAAATGCAATCGTTACTATCATTAATGAGTAAATTGTCATCAATCAGTTCTCATGATGTTTTAGACAGTGAATAAGAAATTTCAAAAAAAGCATTTATACCTTCTCTACGAACTCCTTTTGAAAACGATAAACTTAAATTAAGAAAGGATGAAGAATAAGAATGTGTACAAAATATTATATAAAAGAGACTTCATAAAAAATAAATTTGAGTAATTAATTACTATATTCTACTGCACCTGTATTAGATACATTATCAGAATTATTGTTAGATTTAGATTTATCAAATAACTTATTACATTAATTTCCAAATCAATTAAAGTATAATTTTCTATAATTAAAAATTTAGAACATATACTAAGTTAAAGATCCTGAATTTGAGTTTTAATTAAATCTAATAAATTCCAATAAAATTTCATCTTCCAAATTTAGAAAAATTAATATTGTCTGATAATTAGATAAGTATATATTATTTGGTTGATAAATATAGAATAATTACCATCTAGTTTATTTAAATTATATACTTTAAAAGAATTAAATTTAAATAACAATAATATAGAGTATTTACCATCAGAACTATTTGATTTAAAATTAATTTATCTTGGATTAAGATCTAATATGTTTACTACAATTCCAGCAAGATTTAATGAAATATTAGAGTCATTATAATATTTTGATCTTGATTGGTTTGATTATTGTGCTATAAGTTGTTAACTTGATAAATAAATTAAATAAAAATTAGTTTAATTAGGTTAGAGAGTAGTATAAAGATAAGAAATTATTACATTTTCATTATTTTATTATTATATGATTGGAAAAGTGTTTGATATATAGTAATTCATTTAAAAGTATTAAATATAATATTATTAGTGGTAAGAATATATTATTTACATTTATATAAAGAGATTCCATAGGATTATTAAAGTAATTTAGTTAAAAGTATCCAGAATTAATATATATAAAAGATGAGGAAGATTGTTCTCCTCTTCTTTATGCATTCAATCTTCATAGAATAAAGTGTATTCAGTGTTTGTTACCAGCTTTTAGGAAAAATACAATTGAAATGCAAACTATTTTTATGTTAACAGCAAAACGATTGGATATTTAATTAATGAAAATCTTATTATAGAATGGAATTGAATTAAATTAGTAAATAGAGAAAGACATTATTGGACCAAATAAAATACTTGTAGCTAATGGATCAACTGTTATGCATGTAGCAATGACATCTTTTGGCAGAAATGCATAACAATAATAATAAGCATCAATAATGGTCAAAGTAGTTTAAAACTTAAAGAATAGCTTCTTTTAGACATGGGATGCGATCCAAACATTAGAAATCCAATGAAATTAACTAGTTTACATGCTGCTGTTAAATTACCATCTTTAGCTGCAGTAAGATTTGCTAGTAATAGCACTTAATTTGATTTCCACAAAAGAGATCTATTTAAAAATACTCCACTGCATAGTGCAGCTTCAATGGGTTTAGTTAGTATTTTGTAATTGATTTAAGGAAAGAATGTTAATCCATTTTCTTTAAATCTCAATAATAAGACTGCTAAATAAGTATCTATAGCATCTTTATAAGTAATTAAAATTTAAAGGAAATATGAAAATTAATATTTAAGAAGAAAATTATTAATAGAAAATGAAGATCATAGAACTTATTAAAAGAATGAGAATTTAACTAGTCTTAATAGTTATTAAACAATATCTTAAAATTAATAGATAACAGAAATTAAAAGTCAAATTCCATCTCCTTAATCTTAATAATAATAAAGAAAGATATTTAGATTGAATTTAACTTAAGTTAAATTAATGGAATAAAATGGTTTACTTTCAAATAGATAATAATAACAATCATCTTAAAGATCTTTGGCACCTAAAATCTAAGAAATTTTATCAAATATTTCTTAAATAATGAGAAAATATTAATAAAGTAATAATCTTCTATAAGAAATGAAGAAATTATATTATTGTACTGATGTACTTTAAGAAAAATTAATAATTTCTATTTTTGTAAATCTGATTATAATGAAATTAAAATATGGTTGGAAATACTTATCTAGTATTGGTACATCTACAATTTCAGTATTAAATCAAACAAAATTAATCTATTAAAAACCATAAAGTGTTAATGAATATTTTATTTATTAGAATTAAGAGAAGATTGAAAAATATAAATAAAATTGTCTAAATATATAGAAAATAGATGATATATCAAATGCAGATTTTAAGAATTAAAAATAATAATTATCATTAAATTTAAAATATAATTTACATAATAATTGGGAAGAAACAATTAATTAATATGAAGAATTCTATTAAAATAGTATGGGAGATACTTAATGGATGATTAGTATAAAAGGACTTAAAATTTAAAATAAAATAAAGACAGATAATAATAATAGAATGTTATTATATTAATATGAATAATTTTAAAACAATTCAGCTTCATAAACTTAATTTATTAGAGTAGTACTAAGACAAATGGATTATTATAAAGAGTTGAAAGTTGATAATTCTGAATCAGCTGGTAGTTTAAGTGATAGAATGAATTAATATAATAAAAGTCCATTAATAAATAAGAAAATTAATTAGTTTGTGAATTTAAAATCAAATAAAATGGAATTCCTTTATAGAAATGTCAGTTAAACAGCAAGAAGAGTATCTCCTTAAGTTTAATAGCATCTTGGAGAAAAGGCACAGACCTTTCGAAAAGATTCTGCTATTATTAATTCTATAGATTTTACTTTAGATAATTTATGATTGAATATTAACAATAAACGAAACATAGTTATATTTAAATTATTTATTTTATTTTATTTTTTTTGTACATTATGCAATAATAATAACTCATTTTTGAGTTTCTTCTTTAATCAATAAAAGACCATCATCAATATAAGTTTAAAGTTCTTAACTATCTTCAAACATATTCAAGATGTCACCAATTTCAAATTATGATGGATCAACTAACATACCTAAATTATTTAATTATAATTATTACCTACAACTTTTTTAGTTGATTCTTTATCTTTTACAACTTCGAAGACTTTTTTGAATAATAGATTACCAAGAACATATCTTTAATCACTTTGAGGAATCTTCAAGAATTCTTCCATTCTATTTTAAATTAAAGTGTAATCAGAAAATTCTTAAATGAATGGTTAAGGTTGAACCACTTAGTTCATGAGTGCTTAATTTACAGGTTTATTATTTATTGGTGGATGTCTTGGAGCATAATTTCTCATCATAGGGAAAGGACCAGGACCAGGTCTTCCTCCTCTTGGTGGAATTTGTCTCATTCCTTATCCTCCAGGTGGGAATGGCATTTAAGGAGGCATAACTGGGAAGTTTCCAACATAAGGTGGTTAGAGTAATTATCTTCCTCCTGGATTTTGGAAAATACTTTGACTTTATTTTTTAACTTCCTTGAATTCCTTTCTCATAGTTTTGGATAATAAAATATTCATCATGACATGTCCATCTTTGAATATCTCTTTCTTTATAGCAGAAATTTCTGAATTATTTTCATCATAGATTTCTGATCTTGCTCTCTTTGAATCTTCCATAGTTTAATAATGAACAAAACATTATTGAACTTAAAATCTAGGATTCTTAGTTTTTCTAATTGTAAGACGAATAACTTTTCCAAATCTTGATAAGAATTCTTATATTTTTTCCTTTGTTACTTCTTCCTTTATATTTTAAACGAGAATCAATCTGTCATCTGGATTTAAGTGTTTACTGTAGACCATATTGTAAAAGAAATTTTCACTTTCTCCTTTGAAAGTGTCATCATGATCTTAAGCCATTTCTTTAAATGCCTAAGTAATTTCAGCAATAGAAAATGCTTCACTAGCATCACTATTGAGAGGTGGTCCATGTTTATTAATCAATTCCAATGCATGATGAGCACCTGAATTTATACATGGATGTTTTCTTTATTATTCACAAATATCTAAATTTTCTTTTGCTTATTCTGCTGTTTCGAATGAGATCATTGTCCAAGGTTATCTAGTATGTTAATCAATCTTAACAAAACAATCTTTAACCTTAGTGCCATGTTTTAAGAAATAATCATTAATTATTAAAGACCATGCATATTCAATTGCTCTGATTACCTTACTCTATTCCCAATACTTTTATGGTAAAGGTTTAGCAATGGCTCTCAAATAGATTGAACTGGATTCAACTTTTCTCTCTGATTAGGCTTTGAATTATTCCAATTTAAGTAATTTTCCTTTGTGTGTAATTGGATGATTCATAACTCTCTTTATCAAATTATCAGCATCTTCTTTTTTCTCAAATTGAACATAACCATAACTAAAATATATTACATTTAATTATATACTTTAATTGCTTTCCTTAAATATCTCTGTGAATATCAACTGATTAAACAGTACCATATCTGGAAAACTCTTATTCCAATTCTAAAATATCAGCATCTTCTGGTAAATTGTTGATGAAGATATTTGCTTTTTTATCAGCAATATGATAATTGAAGTATGGTTTGACTCTGATAATATTTCTAATGAACACTTAATTATTAAATTTCTTTCTTGCTTCTTCAGCAGAATCTTGATGAGCAAAGGTAATGAATGCTTATCCTTTTGATTTCTAAGTGGTCTTGTCTTTTGTAATCTTTAAACTGTGGATTTCACCTACTTCCTTAAATTTACGATATAGATAATCTTCTGAAATACCCTAATTAATGTTATTGAAGACATTCATACCTGATCTAAATTTTCAATGTAAATGATGGTCTTCATTTATTATGGAGTGGTTTAAGGAGGTAATTATTGTTAAATTTCTTTTGGTTGCATATTTTGATTTTTTAAATAAATATTTTATTTAAAGATTTAAATTGAGTTTGCATATTTAATTAAAAAAATATATATATTGCTTTTAAGGATAATCATTTATTCCTTTCTATTCTCTTCAATCCTTAACAATCATCACTCTTTTACTCATCAAATATTATAATATACTCATAGTAATATGATTCATTGCATTAAAGAATGATAAAAGTAATTTGAAAGTATATTCTAAGGTTAAAATTCATTATTGCATTAAATATTTGGTTTATTATTGATCATTGTATAATAATATTTACTATATATTTATTACAGATCTAAAACATCAATTTAATGACAGTAAATAAACTTATATATTTTTGAATATAGATTTAATTATTGGAAATGTAAGTCTTCAGGATTATCATAATTCTCCTATAAAGCTATCTAATTTATGATAAATCTAATGTAATAAAATAATTAATTGTATGATTTAAGGAAAATTTATATAGAATCATATATTTTAGATTCTTATAAATAGTAAATCTTAATTAATTTATTAAATAAGATTTGATAATTTATGATAGATTTTGTTTCTCTTTAGATAATTGAAGTTTTTAAGTACTTTCTGACAAAGAGTTGATTCAAATATATATTCAAATCAGTTTGGGATAATAATGGATCAGAAATTTATGTAATTTGCAAGTAAATGTTTAAAATCAATTTAGTATATCAGAGTATAAAAAAATACCTTATATTCATGAAAAAAGGTAGAGATTATTATACATAAATAAAATAATATATTTTATGATAAGAGTAAGCAATTTCAGATAGTGTAATATTTATAAATGTTAGAAATATTTGAAGTTTATTAGATATTTTATTGATAGCTTTATTTAAATTTCATAGATATCAAAAAATTTAGTTTAATTTTTAAGTCATTTTTATATTGTTATGTTATCATTTAATTTTAAATTTCAAATTATTTTTGCCTTCAAAAAAAAGAAATGATTATGAACTAATTATATTCTAATTTCATCTTTACTTATGATTGATGTTAAGATTTAATAAACTATTGTTTGATGTTGTTATAAATTCTCAATCCTTTATCATGTATTATTCAATATTTTGATTTTATTCAATAGAAATGACTTAAACTATTGTATTATTTAATAATTTAGAATGGGATGATGATTTTTTTATGCATTCTATTTTGGATATTAGAATGTGAATTATAGTTGGTAATCGATAAAATAGTACTTTTATGTTTTAATTTTATATAAATAATCAGAGTTGTTTTAAAAATTAAAAATATATATATAAATAGTAAAGTTCTCAAATTAGAATAATACATAAAAGTTTTTTTATGATCATTATTAATATTTAATAATAGAAATTTAATTTTTATAAGTAGTGATTATATCAATTGCGTAATTAATGAATATTAAACTGAGTTATTAATTAAATAAGATTAATAATATTATTTAAAAATGAAATACATAATTGCATTACTATTAGTATCCACCATTTTAGCAGCTATTCCAACCAAAGTTACAAATTGTATGGCAAATCCAAAGATTGTTTTTACTGAGGCAACTTTCAGTGTTACACCTGCAAAAGGTGTTGATGAAACAATTACACTTTTTGGATCTGCAAATGATCATGCAGAATTAGCTAATGTTTAACTAAAAGCTAAATGGAATGGAATAGATGCTTTTGAAGACAATTATCCTGAAGATGAAGTATATGATAAAGGAGATCTTGTAAATTATTAAATGACATAAAATTTCCCAACCTTTACTCCATCTGTAAAAACATTCAAATATTATTTATAGGGTAAAATCGTTGTTTAAATGTGGTTCTAAAATGCTAAAGGAACAAATTTTGCATGTGCTGAAGTTGGATTTGTTATTTGATTCTTATATATTGGTATTTTTCATTAAATAAGATATTATAATTTGAAAACAAAATTCGTATATTTTAAAATAAATTAATCAATAATATTCTTGATGTATGTAATTAAGATAATTGATAATTTTAATTTGATCTAATTTTGTATATTTCTAAAATATAGTTGAGATATGCGAGGAATCTTTAATTTTTAAAGAATCATAATAATGTAAAAATTTAATTTAATTTTTTAAAGATGATAATTAATAAACAAAATTTAAGTCATTTCAATAAATACAATTATTATAATAGTTCATATAAAATTAGTAAGCCAAACTTATATATCTTGAATCCTAATTGATTTATGTAAAAATGAATCATACATTAAATTTCATAGGAAACAAATGAACCAAAATGTAATCCTACAATCACATGCCATGTCCCTTAAAATTTATTATCAAATTCATTTTTATATACTCAGATATCTTTAATATATATTTTCTCTCTTTTAGATGGCAATTCTTAGCAAAAAGCATGTTCAGCAATTTCAATGGCATATTCTTTTTATGCTTAACTCATATCACAAAAAGTAAGAACAGGTTTATGAATTTCTAAATTCGATACTATTACTACGGCATCTTTTCTCTATCCTCCTCTACCAAATGATTTATCTATAGCAGAGCTTCCAGTTTTTAATATTTCCATTATTTATTAATATATAAAGTATTATATTAGTAATCAAATCAAATATTTAAAATCTTGAGAGAATAGGGGAATTACTATATCATCCTAATCTATTTGAACCATATCAAAGGTTCTTAATTGAATGAGTATTTGAAGTTACTTTGAATTATTTAAAGTCATTTTGTTGATTCAAAATAAACAAGAAATTACAGTTATGCAATTTAATTGCATAATACTTTAAGAGAAGATTAAACATCATCTAAATAACTTTTATGTAAATGAATGCCTAATTTGAAAAGAATACAAATAATTTAATTTCTGTTAAATTGGATGAGACAATCAAATTATAAAATACTGAGATTATACAATAATTGAAAACAGATATGAAAATTATAATTACAAATACGAGGTTATTTTTGGATGACTAAAACAATTTAAATAATTTTTTCAGTAATCTCAATAATTTTAATACAGATTATGAAGCCATGTATTCAAATTATAAATATTATTAAAATAATTTCAAAATAACTAACTTTACGCTGTATGGGATATTGAATTAAATATATTATAATAAATATAATCAGGTTATGTAAGAGATTTGAATAAGGAGATGATTAAAATAAAAATAAATTTATAATTACATGTATTTTATAATAATATTTATAAATTTTATTTGTGATGAGAGGTTTCTTTGCCATATCAAGAGCTTTTATTGCTCCTGTTGCAAAATAAACTTTTAATTTCTCTACCCAATAGTCAAAAATATAAATGAGAATGTATTTTAAATTTGAACTATTATAAGAGTCATTAACAAAATAAACGACCTTATTAGACTATCATCTACTATGTCTAGTTTACGTATTGCTAATTAATATGATTTAACATTATTTTCATTATTAGAGGAGGCTTAAGGTAATATTTAAGATTTCATATTATTAGGTAAATTTATAGTTATGAATTTTAAGATGACTCGACTGACTTGGATAATAGACAAATTGGTTTACATTTAGGATCTACAGTTTCCATATGATGTGTAAAACATTATTATTAAAAATATTACCGATCTTTATTATTTTAGAATTCATTCTTTATATTGATAATTAAATTTATTAACAGATTTCAAATAGAAAATCTCGAGAGTTATTATGAAATATTATTACATCAATATATTAATGATTAAATGACTTTAAATATCATGTTCCTCATAAAATTAATCTAGAGAATATTAAGATACTCTTATAGAATAGAATTGTACTCTACTAGTCTAAAATCTTAAGAAATTTAATTAAAACTAGATTTTTCTAATTTTTTCTTTATATTATACTTTATTTATGTAAATGAATTTAGATTATTTATATATATATACTAAATATTTGATCTCTTAAATATGATTTCAAGATATTTCATTAATTATTTTATTTTTATTTGCCTACCTATGAGCTTTAATCTATATGATGATGTAGAAGAAAAGAGGCCTTCATATGAATAGTAATTTGAAAATTTTGAAGAACATAATACTTAAATGTTCGATTTATATAATACAATAAACTAATCTCCTCAGTCATAAAAATGGTCTATAAATAAAATACATACAGGTTTAAACAAATAAATTCGAAAAATAAAACTCGTAAAGAAATCAAAGGGTAGTTAATATATTTCAGATGGACAAAGTATCAATTAACATATAATTTAGATTTTATAATCTAAAGGGTAGCCTCTCTGGATGATGCTTATCATTTAACTAATTAGTAAAATATGAATGTACTTCTCTAATAAAAAGATTTAAATAAAATTATAAAGAAGATGAAGCAACTAAATTTACAATGAATTGTATATAAACTATCTCATAATGAATTCATTATATCTTCATCAAATTTCTCGATATAATCATTATACTTTTATTTAAATAACTTCTTAAAAATTGTACACTATAAAAGTGCAATTCATATATATATATATATAAATATAAATTATAATAATAACAAATCTAAATAAGATTAGATAATTCTATATACTAATTAATTATTAGATATCCTCTAATTAAGTAGAGCTATTGTTTTTAGATTTAACTATTTGAAATTATGTGATAAGTGATAAATTATCATTTTTAAGGATATACTTAATAAGTAAACTTTAATAAAAAATCATTTAAATTTGATGTTCTTATTATAAATTAATCAACCATTCTTAAATGTATAAATTTATTCAAAAAAAACAGAATTTGAAATAGCTGTTTAATTAGTTAACAATTATATCATTATCAACTAGTGAGACCAATGTAAGAATCAATAATTAATAAGTTATAATTTTCAATGATTTTTAATATTAAATACAACTGTACATTTATCAAAATCATTTTGTAACAATTTTACATAAGAATTAATCCAAGAAAATAAATAAATATATTTGCTTAAATAATTATATGACATAATTAAAAAATATGTCCTTATTAAATAACAAATTATATTTATCTGACTGATAATTCAGAGAGAACTTTAAAAATATATAAATTTATGTAAATAATTTGATTTATGATATATTCATAATTTTCACTTCTTTGTAACCTTCCATACGAAAACACATTAATCTTCTCCTCCAGTTGAGATGATACGTGAATCATCTTTGGTCCATTTAACATTTGTTACATGGGATGAATGTCCAGTACCAACAACTGCTTCAGATGATTTCTTCAAACTTGGATATCTGAGTATTCTAACATGGCTAAAGTCATCTCCAGAAGCAAGTAAATGATAAGATGTTTTTGGATCATTCTTTCCATTTATAGTAGTATTAGAACGATCAACAGCATTAATATCAGTACCATCAGCACATTCAGGCCAAATACCTTAGACTGGCCATCCAAGAGTAACTGTCCAAGTATACCATAATTCATCTTTTAACGCAGATGCTCCACCTGGTAACTAAATTAATAATAATTATAAATATAATACCTATTTACATTATGCTACATCCCAAAATAATAGTTCATAAGCACCACAAGTAGAATGTAAATTAACACCATCTCTACTAAAATCAAAATGTGTAATATATGATGAATGTTTCTACATTTTTTTACCTATTGCTTTCCATGAAGGATATTTATAAGCATATAATGCATTGTCATGTGAACCAATTACACAAGTAGTACCATCAGGAGAGAATTTAATATCACTAATCCATTCTTTAGCCTATTTAAATACTTTTGTTTAATTAAATTCAGCATCATATACTCTAATAGTACCATCTTTCATTCCTGCAGTAAATCCTCCATCTTTTGGATTTGTACTAACAACACGTGCTTTACATTAATCAGTAAAATCTCCAGTATTCAGATCTCTTTTCTCTTCTTTACCATCTGCAGTTAAAAGAGTGCTACCTATTTTCACTTATTTTCTCTCACTTATAGACCAAACACGAACAGTACCATCATCAGAACATGTTACAAATTTATCTTAATCTTCTTAAAATATATCTAAACCCCAAACTTCATTAGTCCATTTTAAATTTGGACAAAAATGACCTCTCATTAAATTTGTTACCTAAAAGTCTGTTTAACTATTAATAGCACCACCATCCCAAGAGAATTAATAAATTTCACTACCTAATGTTCCTATCAATAATTTTGAATTAGGTAAATCAGCATAGATTGCTCTTACACTAGGACATACAGAATCTGGACACTTTTCTTTTACTTTCACAGCCAATATTTCTTCATAATTTTTACTTAAAACAAAGAATACTCCATCTCTTCCTCCTGAGAAAACATAATCTTGTGTAACTGTAATACAATCACAAATTTGTGCATGTTTACTAGGTAATGGTTTCATAAATGCTTCTCCTTTCCATACTTATATACATCCATCTGCAGCTCCACATAATGTATCATTTCCATTAATAGCAATTCCAGATAAGTTATTACTTGCTCCCTTTCCAAATTATCCTTTCTTTCCTTAGCATTTCCCATTATCATATTTCCAACATTTATAATGTTTAACACCTACTGTTACAAATGCATCATCTGTATTCCATCTTAAATCAACTATAACATCTGGTCCACTCTTATCTGACCATAATACTGCTCCTTTTCCACTTACATCAAAAACTGCTAATGAATGATCAACATCAACTGCTCCAGCAACTAATCTTTTTCCATTTGGAGTAAATGCCATAGCTATTATACCTTTTTATAATGGAGCTTTGAATTAGCATTTAACTTCTTTTGTCTCAGCATTCCAAACAAATATATTTGGTTTAGCACCTAATTCACCAGTAGCTACTGTCATTCTATCAACAGGATTCAAATCTATTGCTGTGATATCATCTTCATGTTTATTGAAATAAGTTTAAGTATTACTACCAACATCTAAAACTATTCCTAATGCAGCTGCATTATATAAGACTTGACCATTTGCTAAAAAGAATAAATTATTTCTCATATCTTTTGTACGATATCCATGTACATACTCAATTTCCAAATCACATTTTGGTGGTTTATGTCCTTCTGTTTTACTTTAATAATATTGATATGTTGGTTCTTTAATTGCTCCCATCCATGGTTTACATGCCATAAATTAATCTCCTTCATCAGTTTCCTCTTGTGAGAATACTGAATTTTCATCTTGTTATATTTACTTTTTAGGAGGTGGTTATGCCTTTTTCTTTTTAACAGGCATATCAATATCATCTGCTCCTTCTTCCTTACATAATTCTTA